GAAATTGGTAGGTGATATGGGAACCTGAAATTAAGTATCATTATCACATTTATGTGAAGAGTAGTTTCCAAACTTCTTAAGCATTGATTTATTTTAAGTTCTTACGACATCAGAACCGTTCTCAAGAGATTATAAGCCATTGGTAAGTTTCACTCTTGAAGTATATAAGAAATAAATTTGAGAAAATCAAGCCCCCAATTACTGCAAATTTTTACTAATTGTCTTACAGTTCTAAGAATTGTATAATAAAATGGTGGAAGGAAACTATGCAAGCCTGAGCCCCATCTTCTTGATTGGCCTAAATAACTAGCAGCCCCGGGCTTTTTCCTTGCTACCTTTTTCCTTTTGTCCTTTTTCCGCTGACCCTGAGGCTCCTCGGTGTCTGAAGTCCAGCTGCCCCAAGTGCTCCTCACTGTACTCTAGGAGCCATGTGTCCACTGACATTCTCCAAATTTCCCTCTAGGTCTGACCCTTCCTCTAAACTCCACCTCCACTCCCGGCCGCTGTCTGGCTCTGTCCACCTGGCTGTGTGACGATCACCTCAAACTTCTTGTGAACCAGGAAGCGATTTTTTCCACAGTCTTTCCCAGGCCCTTGCTGTGGTTCCTTTCCCTTCTTGCTTCTCCGTCCACCTGATCAGCTTTTGTGTACACCACAGTGTCTTCCGAATCCAAGCCTTCTCGTCTGTTCCTAATGCTCACTGGTGTGTGTTGTATTCTCATCTGATTACTGTAAGACCACTTAACTGCATTCACTCTGAACAGTGGAATCGGGTGGATTCTTCCCCTGCTTCAAGTCTGCCAATGGGTTTTCCAGTGCTTGGCCGGAGATCCACCTTCCCAAAAGTCCCCAGCCCTTCTTGCCTGACACCGACCCCCCCTTCCGCAGCCTTCCTGGATGAGCCACACTCCGTCACCCTGACCTGGCTTGTGCCTCAACGCCTGTGGACTGGTTCTTTCCAGCATCCCCAAGTTCTCAAGCACTCATCCTTAAAGGACACGCTTGGGACACCATCCTTGACATGTCTGCCTTTATCGGGTCACGTGCTCTGCCATGTCCACTGCAGAGGGACTTGTGATACCCAGCACCAGTGCAAAACTGAGTCAGCCAGAGCCCTGGTGCTGCAGTCAGTGTCTATGGCTTTCTGCATGAATTCTGTTTTCCTCGGCTGAGACGGAAAAGAGGGAGAAACGCTGATGCAGAAAACACACCAAGACAAGGAGCAGTGCAACGAAGGAATTTAGATTCCAGAAGCAGAGAGAAAGAGCCAAGACGGTTATTCGAGTAACAATTTTTTAAAAGCATTTGTTGGGCTGTGTTTCAAATGAGTCCACAGCACTGATGCTTGGGATGGGGGGCGGGTACAGGCCAAGGGGAGAACACCACCACATGTGTCACGGAAAAGGACGAGCCACACTAGGACCGAGCAGGGGTCCTCCGATTAGAACTCGGCTGGGCTTCGAGGAGGCGGTGGGGCGACTCGGGTCAGTAAAGCAGTTAGGAGAGGACCAGCTTGGGCAGGAAAACAGCTTTACAATATTTCTTTTTAATGTTTCTCTTCAGGTTTGGCCTGAAATGAGCACAATATTCTCAGGCCAGGGAGAGATCAGACTCAAAGTGGAGCAGGGTATGAAGAACGGCGACAGGAAGTGGGATGTATGCTGTGTGCGGGGCACTAGCAGGGCGTCCTCTCTGCTGAGTGTCTTTTCTGGACTCTGACAGACAGGGGTGGGGCTGAGAGTGTCGCTGGCAACTGCTGGCAGAGCTGGCAAATGTATGCTTTGGCCAGCGACTGTCTTCCCCACGTCCCTTCCCTAGTGCGAACCCAGAGCGCCAGGTGCCTTTCCAGGAGTGGTGAGAACAATTCACAACTCTGTCGATGGCTCAAGAGGCAAAGACAGTCACATAGCCGGACACGTGACAACTAAGAAGTTCACATTTCCCGTCCATGGCAACACGGCCACACCCACCTGTCTACACTGGGTGTGCTGCGCTGCCCTTGACATCAGGGCCCAGTCCGGAACTGAGGCTCCCCACAGCCCTCAGAGAGAGCAGCTGACCCTCTTCCTCCAGCACAGACACAGGGAAGAAGGCTGGTCACAGCTGAAGTGGCAAGAGAAAGCAGCGTAGAGGAGATTCCAGCTCCAGATGAGTGCGCATGGGAGGAGTCAGCACCCCTGCACGAGGCCATGCAGCCAACGAGGCAGTCAGGGCAGCCTGCAGTAAGCCTGGGAAACGAGTCCTGGTCAGCCTGGGGCGGGGGGAGCATGCACAGGGCAGCTTTGCCACGACGCGTCACGTAGATTCACATGGGAATTGGGGTGTGCTGCTCTGCAGAGAGAGGTGAACAGGGCCAACAGTATGTGAGACTCAGGACCCAAGAAGCATGGGCTGGCTTCTGGGAACAGGCGTTCGCTGCAGGGACTTAGGGGATGCTGCAGGCTTTAGGGGATGCTGGCGCCAAGGGGAATAATTTTGAAGTCAAACAGACAAAAACAGCCAGTAGTGCTGTGAAAGCAACTCAGGGGTAGGGAACTTGCCTAGCAGCATGAGGCCCCGGGATCAACCTTTAATACTGTAAATATATAGCTGTTTTACTGAGAATTTGAAATTGTGTATTGAAAATGCAATCTCATATTAAATCATAACACAACAAACACGCTTCAGGTTATAGTCCAGAGTTATAACTGGGGTTTTCTGTGCCTGCGCAGGTACACACGTGCGCACATGACAGATGCTCCGTGGTGGACTCTGAGGGCTCCGTGGCACACTCTGAGGGCTCCGTGGCACACTCCGAGGGCTCCGTGGCACAAGGAGGAGGACGGGAGCCTCAGCCCTGTACTGGGAAGCGGAGTGCAGCCCCTGTCCCGCCCCGGTGCACCGGCCGTCTCTGTGGACTCCTGAGTGTGTCTTCAGGGAGTGTCGGAGTGTGCTCAGAAGTCAGGAGTAGGAGTCAATGTTCACTGAAGTTGAAGGAGGAGGCCGAGGTTCATGTGGGGATCCGTCCAAATCTGCACCCCACACGCACTTCCCCACACCCCATCTCCTAGTCTGATCTGACTCACTCACATTTGCTTTAGAGCCAGCTCTGTGCACCTCTTTGTACTTTCCTGACACAACGTGTCCCCACTTGCCACGGGGAGCCCATGAGGGTGTCCCAGCCTTGATCTTTCTCACTCACTGGGGCTCTCCTCAGTCCCCACTGGACACACAGGCTGTGAACAGGGCACTGCGCTCCATGGGGATGGTGAGATTTTACCCTGTAAGGAACAGAGAGGTGTGAACGACAAGAAAGTGGGTAAATTGGTGTGAAAGGCAGTGGGAGAAAGGTTAGGGAGCCCCTGGGAGGCTTGAAGCTGGGGCAGGGTGAATATTCAGGAAGATGGGCCCGTCTAGAAGGCAAAGAGCACTGAGAACCAGAGAGACAGTGCCACAGGAGCTCCCTGCGCTCCCGGAGCTGGCAAGTGCTGGGGATCCCTGCCAGCAGTGAGACACAGGACCTCTGTTCTGCTGTGAGGTCATGTTACAACCCTTACAGGCACAAAGCAGCCGATTTACAGCTCTGGGTTATAACCTGAAGCATCTTTACTATAATTATGATTTCGATATGAAATTCCATTTTTGATGTGAAAGTTTACATGGGAACAGCTGGGTGGGGAGGGGGACGTTTTGGGGAAGACCTCAGTGGCCATGCTGGTCACCGGCTTGTTGGCCCCAGACACACCCTTCTGCTCATGGAGCACGGCACCACCCAGACTCCTGCCCACTAGATCTGAGCAGGTGCAGACACTGGACAGAGAGGCCAGCCGGCAGCCAGGGTGACTGCTCTCCCTGTGCCCTGGCACATTTCTCAGTGGCCAGGTCTGTCCACAGCTCCAGCACTCCGACAGGCTTTCTGCCCTTGATGCAAACTCCTCAGAGCTTCCAGCTCTAAGCTCAGTGCTTTTCCCTCCCTTGATCCCAGAAAGGCGGTGGCTTCCTGCTGTTGTTAATCTCTGAGCCGCTTGATGGCCCATTTTGGGCCAGCTTGGCTCATTTCCCACCTGTGCAGTCAATTCCTGGTACTAAATTCCCTGTTTGAAATACCTAGATTATTTTTATTTCCTTAAGTGCATCTCAGGTGATACAGAACACTAGTTGTGTGTATATCTGGGCATGTTTGTAGAAGAAGGAGACTCAGAAATCAAGCAAATGTAAGTAAATTTCCCTAAGGAAAAAAGTTTCAGCAAATAATGTTCAAGTATCAGCCAGAAGATTGAAGCACGCTGATACGCTCCTGCATATATTCTATGCTGATAGGAGAGAGCAGCATTGGGGGAAGAATCAAAATATCCGATGAGAGAGTTAGCAGGTAGCACTTGTGTGGAACCTGGTCTCTACCTCGCTGCAGCAAGCCCCTTCAGGCATCTCCCCCGCCCCCCTCCGGCGGCCCTAGGGCTCCTTGGGGGTTGGCTCAGGAGCCTTTGGAACATCTGTGGGTGCTCAGATCTCTGAAACCAGCTCACCTCCCACTTCCCACGCGTCCTGCCAAGGCGTCAGTGCCCACTCCAGGACACATGCACACGGGGCGCTCACACAGAGCATCGGTCAGGAAGTAACAAAAAAGTGCGCATGCTCAGTACAAAGGCACTTCCTCCAAACAGTTTCAGAGCCCAGAGTAGGGTGGGGGCCACTGATTGGACCTACTGTACTTAATTTACTGCTTCCACAAAGCCCTATAAACAGATCACAGTAGGGTCTCCGTTTCATAGACAAGGAAACAAACCTCGAGAGACGAAGTCATTTACCTCAAGCTCCACTGAGGACACATTGAAATTCAGCCACCGGCCCTCAGATCTCCACCCTGAGCCACTGTAATTTATAGTTAAACTCATTTGTGTTCAATATTAGTTTTTAAAGGTTTTTCTCTCTGTTTGAGGCCATTATTTGGGGCTAGGGTTATTGAAGTGTTTCCTGTTTTCACATATGATACATTTACCTAAAGTTAAAAACTCCACAAATAATTTTGAAGGTTTTTAATGCACAATCATTTCAGAAACAGAACAGCACTGAGTTACTAACAGTGAAGCCCTCTAGAAAGGAGACCCCTCCCCATGTAGAAGCAGGATGATAGCGTAAGCAGACCTGAAAGGAGGTGAACACTTTCGGATTAAATGCAAACCCTGAAGTTGGATGCAACGTCCATGTATGGCTTACAGTCTCACAGCGCTGTTTCCTAAGAATGCACAGGACGGGTGTACGCATTGGTAAAGATGCTCTGAACTCAGACATAAACAAAAACACTGAAGAGGTAGTTTTGCCAATGCAAGGTGACGGGGAAAGGTCAGATGTTGCTTGGGTTGCTTGCTCAGAAATCTGCAACCCTGTTGGTGGTGGTGGTTTTGCTGTATTCTGGTTTTCCTGGGAAGGCCAGTTCTCAGAAGCCCATTCACAACCCCTCAGAAGAGGTTCTAGTGGACAGTGGCACTTTTGAACAACTGTAAATCGGCTGGCAAGTTTCCATCACGCTTTTGTTTTTAAACATGAGATAGACTCTGGCTCAGTAGAGGTCTGTCCAGACCTGACCAGCAGCGGTAGGAATTCATCCTGCTTTCCCCTCAATTCTATGTAAAGTTCTCTGATCCTAACGTCTACTCACACCCAGTAAGATTGGGAGCTGAAAGTGGGGATTGCTTTACATTTTAAAAAAAAGTCGGAATACATTGCATGGTGACTGCATCGAATTTCTCATGTGTTCAGTTGTGTCTCGTGAAATCGTCACATCTGAGACTCCAAGGGAGGTTTGGCTTCTGATGTCTGACACCATGCGCTGCTCCTGGGCATGGACAGTACAAGCCCAGGCGGTCTCTCACCATTGCAGTCTGACTGGACTCTAGAGATGAGAAGCATCCTACCCTTACCATGAGAAAGAAGCCCACCCCGGAAACAAATTTAAAGAAGCAACAAAAACATGTCAATTTGCAAAACTAAGAACAGTCTTTGCCAGACAATGGCTATGACCACTAGGAACAAGGTGACATGGCCGGGCACAACTCGTTACACATGAGAAAGCATAAATACATGGGAAGTGGAGCTTTCTAGGTGGCCGAGGTGTTTGCACAGACCAGCGCAGCATCTCGGGACGGAGCAGGGTTCGCAGCTCATCCCCAGCTGGATGGCGTTTCACGTGCAGCAGACTGAAGGTCAGGGACACTGAGAACACCACAGGCCAACACAGAGCAGAGCTCCACACCCGTCCGTCCTTGCAGATGCACAGCTGAGAAGCAAAGGTCACAGGTGAGCAGCACTCAGTCCACTGCTCATCCTCTTCACATGTCAGGCTCGAGTGCATCTCCAGGGGTGGCATAGCCACACACCCTGCAGCTCCCCAGAGCCAGGACAGCACAGTAAGCAAGTGCCAGCCTGGGTGCAGACAGTCAGGAGCTCCAGCCTGCAAGGCTCCAGAGTAATCAAAGCATAAATCCCGAGGCCACGTAGGCTGCTGCTTTCACGATGCCACTGGGAAGGAGGCTGGCAAAGCGGCCCAAGGCTGCGCACCAGCATGCAGGAGCAGAGGAGCTTTGTGTACTTCTGTGGAAATAAAACAAAACCCCCATCCACCGTCCAGGTCCAGCTTTATTGGTTCAATCTGTCTGTGGCTAGGAAGACGCTGTGCTGCTCCTGTGCCCGCTCGAGCAGCTTCCTCTTCTTCTTCTTGTTCTTCTTTCCCTTTGCCTTCGGCATTCTCTTCCCTGTGATGGGGAAAGAGAAAAACACGGAGAGATGTCAGCAAAGGCGCCTTCTCCAGGAGGGAAAACACAGAACAGTGAGGGTTTCGCACAAAGCCCATCTGGAAAACATCACCTGGAAAAAAGTAGCCTCTGAGAGAAAATTGTTCACATTAATTTTGACATAATAATAATAATTTACTAAATTGAATATTCTGTCTGAAGCAGAGACTGATCTCCCCGTTACTGGGAACAGGCACATTTAAAAACATCCCAGCAGCCAGAGCAGTCTTTCACATATCATCCTGCCCCCAAAATCCCATTTGTCCTGCCACTTGAACAATGTTACCCTTTTCCAGACAGCTTTACATCTTTCCCCAGCTCCACAAGTCCACAGGTCAAAAGAAAATAATCATCTATCCACGGTAAATGCACCCGGAGTCTCAACATGCTCCTGCCCCGACGTAGGGCAGGACGCTGCCTCTAATGCTTCTCCCTCCTGTTCTCCAAACACTGATGGGAATGTGTTCATGCAGTGCTTTTGTATTTTGATAAAAACTCACTAGGATTTCATTCACAATGTGTGTTATGGGCTCTTACCCAAAACCTTGAACAGTTTTCTTATTAAATAACGGAGAGCAAGAACAAAGCTTGTTTGTTCTGATCAACCAGTGGTGTGCGTCTAACAGAGAATCATACTTAAGCTATTCTCTTTCACTTCTTTGCCTTGGCCACTAGGAAGCCCAACCACAAGCTGAATAGTTGAGGTTTTCCTCTGTCAGGAGCTTTGGATGCAATTTTCCTGTTGCCACTGTCGTGTTTTACTTCAGTCTTGCAGTCATGGTTTATAGTCAATGTTTCTTCACAAGCATGTACACATGAGAGTGGGTGAAAAAGACTCGGGAACATAAGGCATGTGCTTTGGTTCCTAGTCCTATTTCTTTTCTAAACACGTAGGAACCACGCAATTTGCAGAAGAGTAAGAGGCTTTGAAGGTCTCCAGCACTTCAGGGAGAGCACATGGCCACGATGCACCGCAAGTACGGACTCTTCGTCGGTCAACCGGAAGAGAACAGGAAACCCATCTTGGGCATCACCCTGCTTCTGGTTTTACTGGGCAAATCCCGATGTGTTTTCTGTTCCAGGGGGACTCTCAGACCCCACCGCAGGGGCACCACAGAGGAGCACTCAGTTCCAACCCAGCTCTTCAGCCTTCTGCCAGGACCAGCCTCGATCTCTGAGACCTTGTTACCACCAGCAACAGAGAAAAGGCTGCTGGCAAATGACCAGCAACCAGAGATGAAGGCATCCACAGTGCAAGAAGCCAGGGTCACCCGAGGCTGAGAGGCCAAGAAGAGGAGAGATCCCGTCCAGGAACGCTGCTCATTTCTCCCTCATCAGGAGGGATCTGCTCTGACGGAGGGTAGAAAACACTGCACCCTTCAGGGCCCTCTCATGGTGGCACAGGGTGACTGTCAGCTGATGGCTGCTGAGCAGAAGTTTTGATTACAAGAGAAAAGAACAACATACTATTGTAGGATGCTACATTAAAATAACGAGCACACAATCATTATTCCATCATGTGAAGTTACAAAGGTCCTCAAAGTTAATGTCTGGTTCTCATTAAGTCCTGGCAATCGGTTATAATGGCATTGTGCCATCTTCAAACACAGTTAATCCTCCCAACAAAGCCCTAGTCCAGGCCTTCATCAATCAGAGCTGCTGCAAAGCTCCACTCCGTTGGTAACATCGTCTCTAAGGGTGAGACACACTTAATGAGGGCAGAGAGACCAAGCACTTCAGATAAAATAGCCTAGTATTAAAAGAGGCTTCAATTACAGAGGCCCGTAGAGAAATTTCCCTAGTCCCTCACTTTCTCTAAATAAATAACAAACTATCAGTTAAAAAATCACTGTTGACCACATTTTAGAAATGTATTCGGTTTATGCTTCACTTATTTAAAACCTGGAGTTTCTCTTAAAGGAAAATTGAAATTAGGTGAATGGAAAAATAAAGTTAACATTGTTCGATTCTTAAATGTGTTCTGCAAAATAAAAATGTAATAAATATATTATGTAAAGAAAGCATGTCACGTTTGTGATTTCAATTCTTCACATAAATTATGCAGTCAGAAGTTAAGTGTGCTACATTAACAAACAGCAGATCCATGGTAAAACACTAGAAACTCTCATTCAGCCAATTTTGTATCCTTTACTCAGTTTATTATCCTGCCATGGCAAATGGACTTCAGGTTTCCTGGCTGAAATAATTGTACAGCGGAGATGTAACTCAGTATTTATATACCGCAGTTGGTATCTTGGCCAACAATTCAGCATTGATTCTGAAAAGCTACTCACAGAAAATAACTCTTCAGATTATATGATTTTGCTTTGGCAATAAGTTATACTCTAATGAAGAGTGTTTTGGTGCCCTCAGAGAAACCCTAAAGCTTTTCCCCATAAGCTCTCTCAAGTGGCATCTCTCTGTGGTGTGCAGGTGGTTGGCTTTGTTGTGATTTTGTCCCATTTCTCATGTAGGACACACTGTGAACCTCAAAAAACTGAGATGGCAGCCCAGACAGCCACAGACTGGCCCAAGCCAACGGAAATGTTGGTGGTTGATAGTAGCTTGTGCTGTGATTGAGCTCAACTCAAAGTAACGAAAGAATATTAAACATAAGGGACAGAAAGGGTTTTGCCCTCATTTCTTTTGGAACTTAGACCTTCAAGTGCAAATTAATCAGTATAATTAATGCTGACACAGACACGCTCATGACTGTGTTCTTGTCCGAGTGTGTAGAAACTTGTGCTATTGCATGTTTGAGCACACTCACGTCTGCTTCCACTTAGTTCCCTTACGTCGGTAAGAGGAGATGAAACCTACAGATGACTTGCAAGGTTTGGATTCTTATACAGTGTCAACACGTTTGTACTGTGCGGGAAGACTTCTAGAGAGGGGTGGTACCCACTGACTGCCAAGAGCAGCTCAGCACCTCAATTTACCCTTCTTACTCTTTACTCCGTGAGAGAAAACTTGGCAAACCACTGCCCAAGACCAAAGAATAGTTGAGTTTTGTGAGAAGAGGGTGAGCCTCTGGCTCATCCGACCCTGACAGCAGATCCCTCAACCTTTGTCCTGAGTCCTCTGAGCCTGTATTAACCCTGCCAGAGACCACTACAGAGAGAATCTCTGCAAAACAGAACGAGGTCTACAGAATGATTTTTTTCACTACTGGAGATTGAATCCAGAACCTTGGGTCTTTGCATTGAGTTGTATCCCCAGTCCTGTGAAAAATGTTTAAAATACTGAGTCAAGATGCTGCAAGGCTGCCCAGGCTGGGCTCAAACTTACAGCACTCCTGACTCAGTGTCCCACCTTGCTGGGACTACTTTTAGGCATTATAACACAGATGTTCAGACACTGTCATAGATCTTGTTGTGTTTAAGGAAGGCAGTGCGATTTGATCAGGAAAGGCTGCCTCTGGGCATGAAGAGACCTGTTCTTACAGCTGTGCTGCTGGCAAGACCTTCCATCTCCACACTTGCAGAATAGAGGATGATGGTCACTTCTCCCTAGAGATGTACGAGACACTGCATGCTAGGATGAAAAGATGATGTGTGAAATATCACTGGAAAGATGAGACCATCCTTCAACGGACACAGTTAGGAGGATGACATCCACGCTACACTGCCAGCCAGCTGCCTGCAATGATTTACACTCTGTGCCATCACCCAGGAGGACAACCCACCTGCTCCTGCACAGGGAGAGGGGATGGACTCTCACTGACACACCCTGACACTCGGCCACCCCAACTGCCGCTGCAGTTAGAGTAGGGAGCCCACTCTGAGCCAGGATACTGGGCAAGCTCACGGAGGGCATGAAGCTGTGGAAGTGTCCCCAGCCGGCCGGACACGGATCTCAGCGTACTCTAAGCTCCCGATGCCAAAGGAGGTCTCCCCACAGTCCTCCTTCCCCCAGATTACAGCGGGTATCTCCCCATCTCTGCATCCATGGTTCCTACGCCACCCGCCACAGGGCCCAGATGCCGCCTGGCACTTCCTGAGGGAGCCTGCCTGCTTTGGGAAGACTCCAATGAACAGATAAAAGCACTGGGAGGGAGGATCAGCAGCTGTGACTGTGAGAAAAGATAAAGCTTCTTCATGTATGTTTTCACATGCCACAAGTACACACACACACACACACACACACACACGCGTGCGCGCACACACACACACACTCCTACACCCATGGGAAAGTGAGGCACATTACGAGAAATGCAGGGGCTCTGTCACCAGGGCCAAAGCTCAGTTTTGTGCAAAGTTCTGCTGAGGATGCCCTGGGCTGCACTGCTTTCATGGACTTCACCGTGGACACCTGAGGCTTGCTGTGGAGCTCCCACACCCCGCAGGGCAGCTAAACCTGAGGCTATGAAACTCCCCACCACCAGAGACATGAATCCCGCCACTGGCTGCGTCAGAAGGCCTTCCAGGCAGAACACAGGAAGCTCTCCGCCTGGGCCAGGACTCTGAGCGCAGGAAACAGAGCACCCGGGCTTTTGTTCTCTTCACAGGGTCGGCTTGAATTTACCCAAGAAGGAGCAGCAACGACAGTATGTTTGTGGAAGGGCAATGAATGATTCTCTGGAAAAATGGCAGATAAAACATTTCACAAGCTCACCCAAAAATAAATCAAAGGCCTAGAGATAATTCTTAAAGAAGAATAGGTAATAAATATATTTAAACTATTAAAGATATGTCACTGTCAGAACCCTCAAGAGCAAAAATGCCCAGGGCTGGGGAGTGGGCACCAAGAGAAGGCACAGGGACCCAGCCTTTCCACAAAGACAGCCGGCAAGGTATGCAAAAGCACTGAAAATACTCATAGCTGTGACTCGGACCCAGGACTCTACTGAAGAAAATAATCTCAACCGGGGTAAAGATTTATGCATGGAGGTATTAACTACAACCCTGAATAAAACTGTGCACAACCTGAACATCCTACTGCACACTTCATGACCTCTTCTT